TTATGGAGGATTTTCAAATTATTGAAATTGGCCTCTTTTTCTAAGAATAAGTATTAGACAACGTATTAAGGAATGTTAGGCCGGAGGAGGTAGTGTTATTTTTACCACTCCATTGTCATGTTATTTTTTACTATAAAAATGTGGTTTCTTGACACATGGTAGGAGTGATGCCAATTTTTTTAACAATTTACTTTAAATTAAAAGTTCATTTTTAATAAAAAAAACATAATATTTCATACTTCACAAAAAAAAAATACATTGTATTACTTAAAAAATCTAGAAATCTTAAACCTACAAACTAAAAAACACACATATCAGATAAGAAAAATAAATACCAAAATTAAAATAAAATATACCACGTGAAGTCTTCATCCGAGAACTCATCTTCCGAGTCATTCAGGGGATCCAAATTGAGGTTAACGTGTTTAATTCCGTAAATGTGTTCCACTAAGTTTATGCGAATGTTGTGAAATGTTTCAGTACTACGTATCCTTACTGAAATAAATTGTTGGTTTTTTCAGTATATACTAACATTTCTTAAGAGATCCAAAGGCTCGCTCGACATCCTTCCTAGCTCTTTCTTAAGCTCTCTTTAATTTTTTTTTCCGTCTAGAATCATGTGGACACGAAAATGATTTAACTAACACAACATACTTAGGATAGATCCTATTCTGATCCTATCAACAAGATAATAACCATTGACGGAATTTGTTAATCGATAGTTTGGTTGATTATTCCTACAATTGGTTTGTTTTTCGTAATAGAAAAATTAGTATAAGTCGTGTTTCTTGGATGTTAAATCCTATTTTGTCTATTCCGATGTAATGTTTTGTTAACAATTCTCTTTCTTTCTATAAAATTCAGTTGTTTGAAAAAAAAAAGATAATAATCATACTTATATGTCGTTACATGCACTTGAAAAGATGAGTCAAGTGCATATCTGTCATATATGTTGTTAAATATAGGTAAATGATTAATAACGTTGATGTCGTTAATCGAATTGAGGGAACCCCCCAAAAGCATGTCAAATCCATAGATCATGTGACGCCATTGCTTCAAGTATGACCGTTGGGTGATTATGATCCCCTCGGGTAAATTGACCATGTTGTGAGGTAATGTAATTTTCCCATGCCCAATAGAGACACTCTACTCTTCCTATCATTCTAGGAAATCCTTGTATACTAGCATGATGAGCTTGCAATTATAAGATGCCATTGAATGTAAGCTTACGTAAATATTTTAGACCATAAAACTAAATCATAATTTTGCAAAAAAAAGTGGAGACTATCTCGTGCGGTCAGAGCGGGCATCCTAAAACTCTCGTCAAATGCATCAGGCATGATGACATATGCTAAATGACGATGTACAATTATGAATTTTTTAAGGGATTGAAACCGGATGTACATATAGCATTGAGACATTGTTGGAAAAAACTACACTCTATCATTAAATCTTGGACTGTACGTTCATATAACGATTTGAACATTATGAAACGTCTTCGAAAGGAGTACCCTTGAAAAGTGGCATTTTCATAAAAGTAGTCATGTATCAAGCGTTGTTGGGCATTTTTACGTTTTATGTAAATATATTTTCGTGTTCTCTATTGAGAACTTTCGGTTGCATTATTGCATAAAGCGTCATACATATGCTCCGCCATTTGAGCACATGCAACAACAACATCAAACATAAATTGAAATTCTTCAGAAGATGAACATGATGACATTTTCTATTGATTTTGAGAGAAAAAGCAATATAAAGATATACAAATTTGATTTTGATTTGAAGAAATAAGGTGTCGAGGTTTATATATATATATATATATATATATATATATATATATATATATATATATATATATATATATATATATATATATATATATATATGCACTCGAAATTTGACCGTTCAACGGTCTAGGGAAATGAGAAAGCTAGCAAAAGTTGTGCGGCCAAATTTAGTAGTGTGAAAAGTATGCTAATCAAACCGAGTTAAGGTTCTGCCTGACTAACTATGCATTGCATAATGGTTATCCAATTAAGGTGACTATATCTTCTAGTACAAGGCTTCAAGAAAAATGTGGTTAAGACAATAAAGGAAAGATGTGTACCTTCAAGCTGTAGACATCCTAGTAAACATACATATGTTAGGGAGTACAATCATGCCACATTGGTTAATCCTGACTGGATAGCCAAATAGTTCTTGAAAAAATTGAGTGTTAGACCAAAAATGAAAGCTAGGGAGATGAAAAAAGAAATTAAGATGAAGTTATTATGCATTTTGTCTAAGGAACAATGCTATAGGGCTAAGAAGAAAGCACGAGATATTTTAATTGGAAAGTTATCAGAGCATTATGCTCATATATAGGAATATGGAGGAGAGATCATGAGATCAAACCTTGGTAGTACAACAAAGGTTGGAGTTGATATCAAAAAAGATGGTAGAAGTGTATTTAGAAGATTCTATATATATTTCAAGGCTATAAAGGATGGGTGGATTAGGGGTTGCAGAAGAGTCATTGGCCTAGATGGTTGTTTTCTAAAAGGCCAATGCAAAGGGGAACTACTCACTACAATAGGTAGGGATAAGAACAACCAGGTATACCCAATAGCTTGGGTTGTAGTTGATGTTGAAAACAAGGCCAACTGGCTGTGGTTTATAGAGTTTCTTGTGGAAGACCTTGGATTGCAATTTGGTGAAGGTTTGATAATAATTTTTGATCAGCATAAGGTAAGCATACTCTTTTTTTTTTTTTTTTTTTTTTTACTCTTTTACCTATGTTTACTATTTTTTGTATGTTTACACCTTTTTGTATCATTTAGGGTTTAGTAGAGACTGTCAAGTAGGAGTTACCCTTGGTTGGGCATACGAAGTGTGTCGGATATGTGTATGACAACTTTAAAAAGGTTTGTAATGGGATTGATTACAAGAGATATTTATGGGCAGCTTCAATGACAACAACAGAGTCATATTTTATTGGGACAATGGAGGAACTCAAAGAAATGAATGGGAGTGCTTATGACCACCTCATGGAAAGTAACGCAAAAAGTTGGAGCAGGGAATTTTTAGTGAAGGTAGAGCATGTGAAGTTGTAGAAAATGGTATATTAGAGAGCTTCAATTCAGTAATTCTAGAGGCAAGGACTAAACCACTTCTTACTATATTGGAAGAGATCATAATGTATGTTACAAACAATTTTTATAGGATGTCTACAAAGCACTTAACATAGAGGGAGATGTATGTCCTATAATACTGGAAAAGCTGGAGTTGTGGTGTACAAATATGAGGTGGCATTATTGACTAAGGTTATTCAATATTTAAAAATATTATTCACTAACATGTATTGCATGAATTATAGGTTGTGGAGTGTTGTAGCTAGTGAGACACATGTATTTGAAGTGGGGCTAGGACTTGAGTCTTTTTAGGTGGACTTAGGAGAACAATCCTGTACTTGTAGACTGTGGGAAATATCTGGGATTCCTTGTGTCCATGCATGTGTAGCTATAAACCACACACAACAACAACCTGAAACAATGACCAGTTCATGCTTTTCCAAAGAGAAGTTTGCAGAGACTTACAAAGGCAATATGATGCCTCTAAATGCTAGTAAAATGTCTGTTAGGACACCATTTGCCAAACCATTGCCACCACCTTCAAGGAGGATGCCCGAAAGACCTAAAACCAAAAGAAGGAAACATGTTATAGAGAAGGATGGAGAGTACAAGAAGTTAAGGTTTGTTAGAGGAACAAAGATATGTTAGAACTGTTGGGAGGAAGGGCATAACAAAAGTACCTCCAACCTTTGTTATCAGAGCATTATGCTCATATATAGGAATATGGAGGAGAGATCATGAGATCAAACCTTGGTAGTACAACAAAGGTTGGAGTTGATATCAAAAAAGATGGTAGAAGTGTATTTAGAAGATTCTATATATATATTTCAAGGCTATAGAGGATGGGTGGATTAGGGGTTGCAGAAGAGTCATTGGCCTAGATGGTTGTTTTCTAAAAGGCCAATGCAAAGGGGAACTACTCACTACAATAGGTAGGGATAAGAACAACCAGGTATACCCAATAGCTTGGGTTGTAGTTGATGTTGAAAACAAGGCCAACTGGCTGTGGTTTATAGAGTTTCTTGTGGAAGACCTTGGATTGCAATTTGGTGAAGGTTTGATAATAATTTTTGATCAACATAAGGTAAGCATACTCTTTTATTTTTTTTTTATTTTTTTTTTACTCTTTTACCTATGTTTACTATTTTTTGTATGTTTACACCTTTTTGTATCATTTAGGGTTTAGTAGAGACTGTCAAGGAGGAGTTACCCTTGGTTGAGCATAGGAAGTGTGTCGGATATGTGTATGACAACTTTAAAAAGGTTTGTAATGGGATTGATTACAAGAGATATTTATGGGCAGCTTCAATGACAACAACAGAGTCATATTTTATTGGGACAATGGAGGAACTCAAAGAAATGAATGGGAGTGCTTATGACCACCTCATGGAAAGTAACGCAAAAAGTTGGAGCAGGGAATTTTTAGTGAAGGTAGAGCATGTGAAGTTGTAGAAAATGGTATATTAGAGAGCTTCAATTTAGTAATTCTAGAGGCAAGGACTAAACCACTTCTTACTATATTGGAAGAGATCATAATGTATGTTACAAACAATTTTTATAGGATGTCTACAAAGCACTTAACATAGAGGGAGATGTATGTCCTATAATACTGGAAAAGCTGGAGTTGTGGTGTACAAATATGAGGTGACATTATTGACTAAGGTTATTCAATATTTAAAAATATTATTCACTAACATGTATTGCATGAATTATAGGTTGTGGAGTGTTGTAGCTAGTGAGACACATGTATTTGAAGTGGGGCTAGGACTTGAGTCTTTTTAGGTGGACTTAGGAGAACAATCCTGTACTTGTAGACTGTGGGAAATATCTGGGATTCCTTGTGTCCATGCATGTGTAGCTATAAACCACACACAACAACAACCTGAAACAATGACCAGTTCATGCTTTTCCAAAGAGAAGTTTGCAGAGACTTACAAAGGCAATATGATGCCTCTAAATGCTAGTAAAATGTCTGTTAGGACACCATTTGCCAAACCATTGCCACCACCTTCAAGGAGGATGCCTGAAAGACCTAAAACCAAAAGAAGGAAACATGTTATAGAGAAGGATGGAGAGTACAAGAAGTTAAGGTTTGTTGGAGGAACAAAGATATGTTAGAACTATTGGGAGGAAGGGCATAACAAAAGTACCTGCAAGAATCCAGGTAAGCCCAAACCTCCAAAGGAGAAGAAAAAAAGGGTAGGCCAGTGACTAGGGATGAGCCAAGAAAAAAACAACACCATCCACAAGTCAAATGCGTCAAAAGAGTCAGCAGATGGATGGAAAAACAAGGTGTAACAGTCAAAACAAGGCAAGTTTTAATATTTTTTATTAAATCTTTAATGTCTACTATTGTTTTAACATGATTGTTGTTTTATTAGCTGGGAAAAGCAAAGTCATCTCAATCTGTTAAATGGAGGGACGTATGAAGGTAGTAACATGTACATTGAATATGAATGGCTGCAAGATGTTATGTTAGTTGAAGATTTCAAGGAGGATGAACATGCTAGATAGTTGCTTGCATCAGGATGCCTAGAGGATGAGGTGTATCATGTACTGAACGAACAACAATTGGATGTTGAAGTTTTGGATGAAGAAGTTCCAGAGGTTGAACAGGTTTCACCTATACCTGAACAACTTTCACCTATGCCTCAAGTTGCTATTGTACCAGAAACAAAGGATGAAGGCATTGCTGATACACCACTATCCCAAAGGTTGTTGAGAACAAGGAGGCCTTTAAAAAGAATTACTTTAATTCAGACTGGAAAGAAAGTTGTTGGAAAGATGGTTGTTGGTCCAGGTTGTAGTAGGTTGGACCCTGTTTCTTTGGAGTAGATTAGGGTGCACAAGTTTAGAGGTTGATGGGCATGGTTAATGTTAGCCTTTTTCGTATTAAGTAATGGGTGCCCTAAAGTAATCCCCTTTTTTGTATATGGGATACCTAAACACTACCCGTTTTGTAAATGGGATGGGTAAATATTGGCAACATGTATGGCTTTTGTTGGTAACAATTTATGTAATGTTGATATGGTGTTTATGGCCATCTTTTAGTAGCATTATGGTAAAAATATGTATAATGTTGGTAGTTTGGTCCTTTTTGTTTTGGTCACTAGTTTGTTACATAAGGTAAGGGTAGTTTGGTCCTTTATGTTTTGGTTACTAGTTTGTTACATAAAGTAAAGGTAGTTTGGTCCTTTACGTTTTGGTCACTAGTTTTTTTACATAAGGTAAGAGTAGTTTGGTCCTTTATGTTTTGGTCACTAGTTTGTTACATAAGGTAAGGGTAGTTTGGTCTACTAGCATGATATAGTATCATACTTCCAATTACAGTGATAAACATATACATATCCAAATTGGTCAACGTTGGACCATACAAACTTCAAGTTAGTACATCAATACATACACACAGAAATGGTCAACATTGGACCTTAATCGACATTAATTCATACTTAAAGACTTAGCACAACTTCTTCCTACTTATGCATTGTACACCATCCAAATCAAAATCCCTACCACGACTAGTAAAATAACAAGCAAACCAATCACAACCCTAACAAGAAATGCCAAACTTATTTCACCATGATGAGGGTTCCCTTTTCCCTGTCCAGTGCTTATTTTTCTTCTTTACCACAACTTCAAGCAAAGTTCCTTGTACCATGGATTTACTTCACCATCATACCATTCAAAGTAGCCACAGTCTACAACTTCATCGGGCTAATACATGCACCCAAAGTATCTTCTACTAGGATTCTTCTCGCTTGTTGATATCTTCATTAGGGTTGCTAGTCTACAGTAGCACATCCTAGAGGGACAATTGTTTGACTTGTTTTCCCTACTCGTTGATCCAACTGATCGAGATGAAGATACCATTGTACAATCCTCGTGAAGAACTGAGAAGAAAAAGTTAAGATCGATCTAGGGTATAAGGGTAATAAGAGTTAAGGCTGTTAGGGATCATTTATAAATGCTAAATTGTTGTGTAGAATCTAAGTTGGATGCAACATAAGCTAATGGTCTAGTCAACAAAGTAAAAACCGGTTGAACTAAAGTCAACCGATAATATGATTACATTTAGGAAAAAATCAATAACACGGTGTCAAAATTGAGAAAAAAAAAGTACAGTATCAAATTAAAATTTTTATATAAACTTAATGTCTTTTGTGATATTTACCTATTGATTAGATTGTTTATTGGGAAGGAAAATACAATTGGTGGATTACATAAGAAATATTGGATGCGGTAGTGCTTACGACTCAATGGTGCTTTGAAGGTTTTGCTAATGCATTATTATTTCATCCCAACAAACCGAAGAAGACCTTTTATTTTGGAAAGAAATATTTAATCAATAGTATTTTGGATATATAATAGAAACAGAAATTAGATTCAGATAACTTCAAAATCCAACTCTAACTTTGATTTTTTTATAATATATTTTTTTATATAATCTTCTACCTTTTAAAAAAAAATCCCAATTAATGATTACGAACTCTACGAAAAAAAAACTATATGACACTCTTATAATATACGAGTTATGATCCTTATATGAGTTGGTATAGATTTATATGAAATGGCAAACACATTTTATTTTTATTTTGTGTCACCTTTGTTTTCTTCTTTGATAAAGACCAACAATTTGTTTTTGTTATTAAAGTTGCTAACAAACAAACCATACATTTTTTTTTCTTTCTAATTTTTCTTTTTACAATTTTAAACTTAATGTATTAATTAAAATTAAAAATTATAGGAATTGGTTCCGATATAATACTGTCGGGTCTAGGGATTAGAACAAGTGACATATCTATAGTTGCATAACCATGTTTTAGCTCATAGTTTTTTTTTTTATAATTTTCTTTTCTAACTATTGCTAATTGTTTATAGAATTTACGATGTTCTAAAAAAATAACATGTGTTTCAAACCTTACAATAATAATAATTTGTATCATCAAAAATACCAATAAAATTTCCGTCATTCAAATAAAAAACAACAACAAATATGCGTTAGAAGCCTTAAACTAACAATAACGCTCTTATTACTTGGTTTATTAGTCATCAGCGGATTTACTTGGTTTATTATTATTATTATTATTATTATTATTATTATTAAGATGCACCCACTATGAAAATATGTCACTACTAATTTATAGGTCTATAAAAAACATGGTGCTAATACTGCTGTAAGTTCTTGCGTCCACCAATATCGGTCATATAACAAGTATGTAGTTTTTCATTGTAGGTTTATCACACTACTCGATTTTTAAAGCTTAAAATAAAACTTCAATTTTATAAAGGGAATAATTTTTTTTTAAAAAACGGAAACACTTAACAAAAAAAACATGTTTAATAAATATTTATATTTTTTTCTTAGAAATAATATTAAGTGTAAGCTATAATTTATAAACTAGATTACAATATGATGGTTCTTTAAATTCAATAAGGTAAATTTTCATACACAATTAACGAAATTTGTATTTTAGTTAGTCTTATGTTTTCATCTTATTCTTTTATAAAATTTCAACTATATTTCTTGTATTTGTGTTCTTTAAATTCAATAAGGTAAAATTTCATACACAATAAACGGAATTTGTATTTTAATTAGTCTTATGTTTTCATCTTCTTTTTTATTATTATTATTATTATTATTATTATTATTATAAATTTTTAGCTAAATTTCTTGTATTTGTATTTACATTGTGTATAAATAGGAAACATAAAATACAACAATCATGTAAATAATTATATATTGTCTAATTTACCTTATTAAAAGCATACTAGCTTCAATATTCCATGCCTTGCTTTTACGCACTCCCAAAAGGCTCTCTTTTATCTCATCACTAATTCACTACACATGTATATAACTCCTTTTCCTGCTCCATCACTTACTAAACTTCTCCTTCAATGGATTGCTTTCCTATCATATCTTAGAATTCCAATAAAAGCAATGGAATTCAATTCCATTCATCATCTATTTCCCAAATCATCATCTCCTTGCTCACATCCTCTTTTCTCCATCATTGTAACTCTTTACACCTTAATTCTTCTTTACATTCCATCTTTCTTCATATCAATAGCTTTATCTCCTGTTCTTAATTCCACGGGAATCATACTCATTTCTCTTCTCAGATTAGGCGTGAACAACTTACAAAAAGAATCAAGAGTTTTAGATTCCAGTGACAATGAAAGGTTGGCAAAGGAATCCAACTCTTTGGAATCAAGAGTTCTTGATTGCAACGACAACCAATCCAACCTTCTTTCGTATTCAAAATTTTCTCCAAAATCCAAATCTTTGGAATCAAGACTTATCGACTTCCTAGCCCAAAACCAAACCCATGCAGAATTTGAGCCTAAATCTGTTTTAGACTTGGAATGTAATGAAACACATGTGGGGTTTGAGCATGACATGGTATTGGAATCCAATTCCATTGAAATTGAATCATCACAAGTGATTAAAGAAGGTCCCATATACGAGCCTAAATCTTGTTTAGGCTTGGAGTGCAATGAAACTCATGTGAAGTACGAGCATGTTATGGGATCGGAGTCCAATTCCATGGAATCAACACAAGCGATTGTAGAAGGAGGGTCAACATACGAGCCTAAATCTGGTTTGGACTTGAAATGCAATGAAACCCATGTGGAGTTTGAGCACGACATGGTATTGGAATCCAATTCCATTGAATCATCACATGTGATTGAAGGAGGGCCCACATACGAGCCTAAATCTAGTTTAGACTTGGAATGCAATAAAACCCATGTGAAGTACGAGCATGACATGGGATTGGAATTCACTTCCACGGAATCACCACAAGCGGTTCAAGGAGGGCCAAAAGTAATGGAAACGGGTCCCAAAGAAGTGGATACAACAATGGCGTTTCTTGAATGGAACATGAGAGCACCATTGGAGATCATATATGAAGCATACGAAGGAGAAGAAGAAGATGATGAAGATAGTAATGAAAATCATGAGGTTTCCAATGATAAACATGATGTGGGTTGCGAAAGATATCCATCTTTATTGATGTATTATCCGGATAGTGAGACAGATAGCTCCTCGGATGGCGATTTCCCCATGAATGAAAAGTGGGAAACACATGAAAGTGTGTTCTTCAAATGGGAAGATGAAGAGGAAGAGCGGGAAGAACTTATTGAGATCTCATTAGATCATTATGGGAAGAGAAGTATCGAATGTTGTCATGTTGAGGAAGATAATTTGATTGAAATTGACCTTTTTGGAACCAGAAGTTGAATTTTCACTTCTTCAACTATATACAGGTAATAGGTACAATTTCGCAAAAAGTAGTAACTAGAGTTTTAAACTATGGTACTTTTTTTTTGTTCTAAATAATATCTGTTTTATAATGGTGAAAATAGAGCACTTCTGAATATGATAAAGAGAGCTTTTTGACACAACTCTTTTTACACATTTAGTTTTCATAATTCTTTTGAAGTCGTTATCTTTTTTTGGCTATCTATTTGTGCATATTGAATAGATTAATTCTTCTTTTCAATTTTTCTTATTAAAACAATTCATTTAATTATTGTATTCAGATTTTAGTAACTATCTTTAATTATTTACATAATTGGTATTCTTTGTTGTATTCAACTTTAATAAGCTTTAATTGTTATGTTTGAGCTGTTTTATTGTAAGAGATAACATATGATCAAAACAGTTGATATACAAACTTTGATAGTAATAAATAATTTCATTAACAAAATAAAATAAAAAAGTCAATGAATGATATCTATACAGGGAAAGCGTGTTACTTAAAACATAATAATATGTGGACACTGCAAAAAATCAGTGTCTTGGAATATCACATTGACAGAAAGCCAAGTGATATGTTTCCCATTAAAGTTAAAAAGAATGGTCCATCCCATGTTCCAGAGGTCGTTGTGACTAAACTACCCTTCAGACATATATTTTTTTTTTTAAATAAAGACACATTTAAGTTATATGAAAAAGTACTGAGCCCTAAAATATCCAAATTTGGGCTGAAAGAACTTGAAAGAATAGTAGTGATTTTTTTCCTATTGGTAAAGAAAGGAACCAAGAGAGTAATGGTGATAAGAAAATGAAGATCTTAGTAAGGTAAATCGTATAAAAGTTACTATATTTAGAAAAAATGAATATTATGTTATTTTTGTTACAATTAAGTTTTTTAACTTTTTGAAATATTAACTCCTTAACGGATCAACTCAATTTGTGTTTTGCTGACTTGCTAGTTTTCAGTGACGTAACATGCTGATGTTACATTATTTAATTATTTAACATTGACATAAAAATTGAAAAAACATTGGTACAAAAGACTCTAAGACTACAAGTGTGGGTGTGGTAAGGGAATGGGTATTCAAATTTGACATTTTTTTATTCCACATTAACATTATGGTTTTCAATTTTGGTTCAAAGTTTACTATTTCTTTTTGAAACCATATAAAAATATATTTTTTTCTTTTGAAACCGTATAAATATAATTTTTACGTTTGAAAATTATATATTTTTATGTAAATACATTTTTTTTATATTTAAACCGTAATATTATGTATAATGTGTATTATTTATATTGTAATTGTATATTTTTTTTATTAAATACACAATTTTAATATAGAATATGGATTTTTACATATAAATATATGATTAAATATGGTTTAATTGCAAATAAATGCATCAAAATACATTTTAAATGTAATAAAAAATATGCATTCCTTGTAATATCTTTGGTAATTGAGTAATTGATAATTGATGGTTGATATGAAACTTGTTGATTGTTAATTGAGTAATTGGTAATTAAACCAACTTAAATAATATATGTCCTTCCAAAATATAGTTATATTTTTATCCACATTATTATTATATATAACCTCACACTTTTTATATTGTGAAATTTGTTCAATTTTTCTTGTTTTATTCGTATTTTACTTTAGTAAAAGAGTTAGCGAATATCACTTATAACTTCGATATTTTAATGATCATGTGTGAAAATATTTTTTAAAATTTGTAATTTCGACCATATTACATGGAGTAATATGAAACAAAATTTGGGATAATGCAAAAAAACTTTATTTAGATTTCATGTAAAATCTAAAATTCAAAAACATATAATGCATTTGCATTATTTGATGTTCTATGAGACAAGATTTTTGCACCGTAATATTAAGTAAAGATGAAGTATATTACAAGAACTAAAGA